CATTTGTTGGAGAAGCAATGGTAAAATATTAAAATCCACCTCTAGGTGTTGGTTATTGTAATAGATATAGCTATAGTGGTATTTGAAAGGTCATTGTTTTCCTTTGAATCATATTAGAAATGCATGTTATCAGGAGCTCTCTATCTACATAATTTTCTTGGTGACCTTGTGGATTTGCACTTAAATTAGGTATTTCCAAGTTTAAATGCAGAACTGCATTTACGGAGCTTTTCATTAATCTCTGATAGTGCTTGTCATGGCATTTCAATGAGTGGCAATGTTGGCATAAATCATTTATCTGAATATATTTGGATCTTAAAGAATAGCGGCCTTTCTGTCGGTCTGGCTGAGAGTGATGAAAAAAGATAACTTTACAGGTACTGCTTTTTGCTCACCTTAAAGGGGCACTGTCACTGTTCCAGAATATTTTAATGTTATGTTTTCTTATCTGCTTCACTTAAGAAATATATGCTAGTGTGGCCTGAAAAGGAAAAATTAAATGTAAAAATTCACACCATTTTGTTAAATTTTAATCTGGTACTGAGTGCTTCCATCTTGGCTCCCTGTAAATCATTCATATAAGCTCTGCCCTTTTATAAAACTAAACAGTAGAACCTTTGCACCTGTCCATCATCACAGTGAGAAGAGAAGAAATTGAAACAACGTTTCTATATCTCCTCTTCCAATGTAACATACAACCTAGCTTTGCCAGGATTGAATTGGATTGTGTTGTAAATTGCTAATATTTTTTAAAATGTATTATTAGTACAAGGTATAAATACATGGTACTGGAGGAGTGGCCATGGGATCTCATTCCCAAGCCTTCTTGGGCAACAATGGATGCGTCTAAACCTTTAATATTGGGCGTCATCTGCTGAGAAGGGGTGAAATAACTAGAAACAAGCTGGTCCATTCCAAAATGGGCAGTTATGTCTTATTTTTGGATCAGCAGAAGACATTGGGATGTATGAAGTGTTGAACTTACTTTTTTTCATCCTTAGTAACTATGTAATTATGAAATATTAAGCGTGGAGCCAGGTGAGTTTATCTTTACTACTCTTGCCTGGAGAAAAATGCTCATTGCCAGAGGCCCAATTATGACCTGTAAAACCAAAACACTTCAGGACAAAACTTTAAAAAAATTTAAGTTTTGCACATCAAAAATAAAGAATTTATATTAAAAAAATTTACATTGTATGGGACTATTGTACCTTCGAAATTATAAAAGTAATTGTATTATATTTATTGCTTTGATAAATAAAATTAGTTTTTTTTAATTTAAGTCATCAAATGTTCATGCATTCTAGTCTTTACTATCAATTTCTGAGGTCTTATATTAGACTGTATCCCTTTTATAACTTTAAAGTGTTTTTCCAAAGAATGGGATTTTTTGAATTTTGCAGATTGGCTTTTTTTTTTTTGGTTATTCACCAACAAGCATGCTTTTTTCTTGATTGATCTATCTATCTATCTATCTATCTATCTATCTATCTATGTATCTGTCTATCTATCTTTCTACCTATCTTTCTACCTATAATAATTCAATTTAACTAGTGAACAAACAATGACACATACTTCTGTTTATCTGTCTGTCTCTCTAACCATCTTTCTATTGGCTGGTCCTACATACATCCATGACAGTTTTCACTATAATAACACAATGAATAACTATATTACCTAGAGTTTTTGCTGCTGATTGTACACACCAAATAGAAGCCATAAATCTCAGATTTTCATTACATATACATCTTCCTTCATTATCGAGGGATAGAGTACGACAATAACATAATATAAACAGTTGCCCATTTAGGGTCTCTCAGTTTGAGAAATACAAAAGCCCTTTCTTGTTGAGAATTTTGCATATTTAAACCGAAGTTGAATAGTAACCATTTTTTCCATTTTATTTTGCAAGGCAAAATGTTAAGGTCACCCTGAGAAAATATAGAAAAAAAGTCCCCCAAAAGATGAATGGGGAATCTCAGTTTGCTGAAGGAAATGCAAAGTTTACTCTTTTCAGTGTATTGGAAGAACAAAGGATCAAGCTCCCAAGTGTAAACTCCAATTCAGTTCTGAAGTGCAAATATTTTAAAACTATACGAGATTTGACAAGCACGAGAGCAATATAGTATTCAGCATCACATCACAAATGAATAGCTGACATGCAATAGAGTGGCTTAACCCTTTGCGTACTATGCCTTGACCTAGCTTAATTAACCCTTTATCGTCTATTTTTTGTGTGCCACCTCATTTAATAAAAATAGATACGTGACAGCTGTGTATAAACAAAATATTTTAAAAATGTATTAATACTGTTGGATACTCTTTCCAAATAATTTCATATTTTTGCATATTTTAAAATGATTATTTTCAACATATTAAAATATGAAAAATATATCATATATGTATATATCTATAAAAAATATTGCAAATTTTAGATTCACTACCAGCGCATCTGTTAACAGTTTTCTTCTATTTACATGTTCTTCTAATACTATTTGTTCTTTTTCTTATGTCATTTTTGTGCCAGTTTATCTTACCATGCTCTCAAGCTTGAAATATTATTAGGCAGATTAAATGGGCCGAATGGTTCTTATCTGCCGTCACATTCTATATTTCTATGTTTCTATGTAACTTGGAACCTGTGTCATACCCTTTGTCTGCAAAACCATATTGCTATGTGCAGTGCTTTTGGCATCACAAACATATTGTATGTACTTATTTTTATGTAATGTAATCTGTCTATAGTAAAAAGTATTTTTTAAAAAGCGAAAAAAAAAAAAAAATCACTTAAAGTAACCCTGCCACCCTTAAATAAATATAAAATCTTTGTT